CACCCAGTTGTTGTCGTGCAGCCCCAGGCGGCAGCCGGGCGTCTCGCGGTCGGCTCGGCGGCAGCACATCCAGTAAGAACGTCCGTAAGGCAGGTCGTGGTGGTAGGGCTTGGGATGCCAGCGGCAGAGCGACACGTCGCCCTTCTCGTATCTCTTGCGGCACTGCTTGCAAGGGTCATCACGGTAGAGTGGGTCGCGGCTCCAACGCGAGTCTGTGGCCCGCACACCGAACGCCTCGATGATGCCCTTGAAGTGGTGGCAGGTGCACTTGAGGGCTGCCAGGGCCCGCGTGGGCAGGAAGCTGAAGATCTTGACCAGCACGTGCTCGGGCAGCAGCAGCATGTACTGTCGTGGCTCCAGCAGCCTCTGGATCTTGAAGCGTATCTCCAGGAAGTCGTGCGACACGTGCCGGTACAGGCGACACAGAGAGGTGTCCGCCGTGCCCTCTGCGTCATCCGGGCCGGGCGCGGTGGCCGGTGAGTCGGCCGGGGGTGGCTCGGGGGGCCCGTCCGGCCCACGGGACTGGAGGAAGAAGAGCTGGCCGGGTGGGGGAGGCTCCTCGGGGCTGACCGTCAGGCACACCGTCTCCTCCTTCACGTTCTTGGTGCCATCCTTGCCAAAAAAGATGCACTCGTCCACCACACCCGTCACCACCACGTCCACGTGGAAGCCAGATGCTCCGCAGTCCCGGGCAGGGGGTGGGGGCGGGGCCGGGGGCGTGTCCTCGGGCCTGGCAGGGGCTGGGGTCTCGCCCTCGCTGGCTTCGTCCGCCCTGGCCAGAAGGAACTCCACGTTGCTGGGGAGGGCGTCCCGAGAGGGGCTGATGAGCTGGTACAGGTCGCAGGTGATCTTGTCCTTGGCTCGGGTCCCGGGCCCCGGGCTGCCAGGGTAGGCACAGCCGGGCCGGCCCCCACTCCCGTTGGGCAAGCTGCCATCCGGTGCCCGGGGCTCTCGGCCATTGGAGATACGGAAGGCGATGCGCACCTCCCCGGGGCCTGGCCCAGGCCGCTCCTCCTTGCGGAGACCCTTGGCCGGAGGGTTGTCCCGCTGGGCCTCGAAGTGGGCCACCGCCTCAGCTACACGGCTGCAGTCCCCTCCGCCAGACCGCCGTTCCGACCCCAGGCCCTTGGCAGGCCCACCCTGCTCTGCCGACACGAAGACCACGGGCGCCGGGGCGCCGGGGCGCGGGTAGTTCTGCAGCGCCAGCGCGGCCCGCTGTTCCACCAAGGCCACCATCTCGGCCACAGAGAGCAGGTCCACATCCTCACCGGCTGAGGCTGGGGTCCCCTCAGAAGCTGGGGGCCCCTCTCGGCCCCCTGGGTCGGGCGGAGCTTTAGTAGGCTCAAGACAGCGCCTCCTCCGCTTGGCCTTGGAGCTGTCACTACCCCAGTGCCCCTTGACCTTCATGGAGCTGGCCCGGCTGCCGCCACCACACTGGTGGGCCACAAAGAAGGCCACCTTCTCCTTTGTATTCCCGGGCTTGATAACATACCACGTGTCCAGCAGGACTCGACCCTCGTCACCAGCAGCTGCGGCTGAGAGGAGCGGGGCGGGCTGGGGGGCAGGGGCCTCCGTGGCCAAGGCGGGTGGCGTGTTCTCTGAATGCGCAGGCCCGTGGTCCGGCTCGGCCCCACCGCCTGGCTCGGGGCAGGCCGGCGGCTTGAGGGCTGCAGAAGGCGGGCGTGGCTGATTCTGTGAGTAGGTACCAAAGGGACGGGGGCACCACAGCTGGAAGGGCAGGAGACTGCCGCGGTCCATTCTGGGGAACGGTGGCAGACAGGCAGGGGCTCACTGCATCTTAGGATCTGGATGGTGGTAAGGGACTCCACAGGCCACCTGGAGACAGAGAAGAGTAGGTTGGGGAGCTGGGGGAGCCTGCCCTCTACACCACCCTGACCTCAACCTCTCCTGATGGGACGGACTAAGTTAGATCACCAAGAACTCCATTCCTGCCCCACTGCACAGGTGAGCAAATGGCAGGTTGCAGAGGGGACGGGACCTACACTTTTAACGCCTAGAGCCTGATCGGAGCTGGCAGCTTGCCCTAGCCCTAGAGATCACACTTCACTGCCTGACCGCCTTCACTCCCGGTCCAGAGGCCTCCTGATGCCATAACCCTTAAACTTCAGTGAGAATACCAACTGACAGCTCCTCCTTTTTCTATTTGCTCCCCCCGTAGCCAGTTCTTGAAAAGACAAGAATTCCCAGCCCTGCCCACAGCTATGGCTGCTTGAGCCCACAGAGGAAGGAACGAGGTGGGCTGGGTGGGGGAAGAAAAAAATCTGAGGTCGAGCCAGACAGGCCCTTAAGAAATCAGCTCTTCACTTTGTTTGGGTCATGGGACTCTTTGAGAACTTCTTGATGCTGTGTTATCTTCCTCCAGAAAAATGCAGGTAATTCCAGACTGTGCAGGTAATTCCCTTAAGCAGAGCCACAGATCCCCAGAATAAGAAGCCCTCCCCCGCAAGCTGCATACAAGTAAACTGAGGCTCAGAGTGGGAAAGGGTTACGTCGTGCAAACCCAGGCCCTCAAACTTGATTTCTGGACTTTTCAATTCAGAACTTTCTTAATAACAACCATTCTATTTGGCAACGACAACCTGTGCATGAGCTGATCTGGGGGCAATTCTGTTGAGTCCAACACGACCACTTTCCACTGCAGGACACATCCCTCAAGTCTCAATCCTTCCCTCACCCTTCCCCCTCTAGACACCTGGAAACCGAAATCCCCTCCAAGTCTCAAACCTTCTCCATGCCTATAAACCAGGCAGGCAAACTATGGCCCATAGGCCAAATGTGGCCCACTGCCTGACTCTGCAAATAAAGTTTTATTGAAACATGCTCATTTGTTTATTGCTGCTTTCATGCTGCTACAGCAGAGTTGAGTGGTTGCAATAGAGAACATGTGACCTTGCACAGCCCTGTATGGAAAAAGTTTGCTAATCTCTGCATTATAGATTCTCTAAATACAGGCAATTCCCACAGACACCGCTAAAACCCATCACTTCATGGTCCTGTAGACACTATTCAAAATCCAGACAGCCTCCAAACACCTAGAGATAACAGTCACAAAGGGAGTCCTAATCCTAAAAATTCTTACCCCATAATCCCTAATCCCACCTACCCTTCAAACACTTACAGCCCCTGCTGAAATTCTAGTTCTTTGCTTAAAACAAACAAAAAAAAGAAACAAAAAGAAACCCACCACCATATGGCCCCTAAAACTAATAGATGGCTAAGTTTACCAATCACCAATGCATCTAAATGTCCAGGAACAGATGCTAACACAGCAAAGACCATTTTCTGTAGATGCCATCCCTCTATGACTTGACTGTCCCCTGGAATCCCCCAATCAGTTTCTACCCTTATCTCCAGAATATCAATGCCCCCCAAAGTATCAACCCTTCCAAATTTTACTTTAAACCTCCAAACCTATAAATATCTCCTCTGGTCTACAGCCATGCCACCCTTAAGCCCAATCCCATCTGATCTCGGACGCTAAGCAGGGTCGAGCCTGGTTAGTACTTGGATGGGAGACCACCTAGGAAGACCAGGTGCTGTAGGCAGAAAAAATAAAAATAAGGGATTGTAAGCTGACAAGGTCCTTGCAATCTGTGAGGTCAACCAAGGGTTGCCTCGCCAAATACATACATACATACGTACATACATACATACATACATACATACATACATATCCCCTCTGGCACAGAAGGCTCCAATTTCAAAGAACCCCTCACAAACCCACACCTACCAAGAACTCCTACATAGCAATTTCCCAACCTCACAGATGCCCCCAAAGACTAGTTTCCTGAAATCCTATGCTCACCTCAAACTCTTCCTAAACCCTTGACATGTATCCCCTAATTCCACAGAAGTTCGCCCCAACCGCAAAAGAACTCACTAAAACATAAAAAGCTCCTTAATACGTAAGGCTAATCCCAAACCATACATTTTTCAAAGCCATAAGAGCCCCCCAAATACTCCCAAAGAAACCCTACAAATGTTATAATAGCAGACACGCGCTTATTGTAGGCGCATTGCAGCTAATTAGGTACTGTTCAAAAATTCCTGCTAATCTTCCCAGTCCCTAGGAAGCAGGCAGTGTATTTAGTCACTGTGTCTGGATGAGGCACAGAGAGGCTGGAGTCAGAGGTAAAAGTCGGGACAGGCGAAAGCCCAGGCATTCTGGTAGTCAGTCCTGGATCCTTCACTTTGCTTCTAAGTCTCTCTTTGAGCTCCCAAGTCATATACCCACCAAACATCCCAAACCTTAAAGGAGACCCCTACAATACAACCAAACCCACCACATTACAAGAGAACCCAAACTCAAAACCCAAGCCACCCTCTAAGCTCAAGGGAACCCCAAGTATATCGCACACCCATGCAAACACTTCCCAAGTCCCAAAATATCGCTTCGATGCAAATTAACCTCTCAAATATTGTAACCGCCCCCCGGAATCCGCCAACCCCCACTGACGACCCTTGAAACCTAGACACGCCCCCAAAGGGCCCTCACCCGCGAGCCCCGCCCCCTGCAACGGGGAGCAGACGGAGGCCCACACGCATGCGCAGGAGACGGAAGCCGGCCCGCCCCCTCGCTCTTAGTTTCCCTCCGCCTCTTTGTTGACAGACTCGCGCGTGACGCCCCCAGCCAATGAGCGGCTGCCGTTCGAGGCCGTGCCCATATAAGGAAGGCCTTGGCGAAAGGGCCCAACTTCGAAAGAGGGAGGAGTAGGCGAGAGGTGACGAAGGAGGTGTGCAAACAGCCGTCCTGTGTAAGAGAGCGTGGAGCAATTCCCAACTTCCTGCTAAACGGAGGAACAGAGCCGGGACAGAGGCCACCGCATTCGAGGAGAGGTTTATTACACGACGTTCCCTCTAAACTGGAGCCCTGATGGACGGTTGGCGATTTAAAGAGCCAAGCAGCTCCAGGATAGAGACTCTGGGAAGGAAAGAAGCGAGCAGGAAGATCTGAGCGTGCCCAGCTTTGGTTGGGAACCCTGGGGCCCGAGATTTCCTGCGGGAGAAACGGGGCAGCGAGATCACCTCACCCTGAAAACCAAATGGCAGAACCTGCGACGGCTCCCGCGGCACTGAGTCTAAGTCTCTGGGCTTGGCATTCAAGGCTGACGCCATGGTGTCAAACGGACATCTCTCTCAGTTCAGTCTCTGCAGCCAGCCGCCCCAAATCTGACTCAGCCTTAATACAAGAAAAGATAATATCTAGTATATAATTTAATTAAATAAAATATTTAAAATTAACTTCTCTTTCCTTTGACTTTTAAAATGTGACTACCAGAAGATTTTAAATTACACATACGCCACTCACTATATTTCTGCTGAACAGCCCTGGTCTAGATCCTTTCAATGCCAGGCTAATTCGGGAGACACCAAACCCAAAGGTGGCCT